TTTGCAATTAATTGGCTTTTCGGCGCACGCGCGGAGAGGGGAGCTTCCGGCCTATAGCCCCGCCCCCAGCCCCACCCAAGTTAGCTCCTCCTCCAGGCTCCACCTCCGGACCAGTTCCTCCTCTCACCCGTGAAGCCCCGCCCCCTACTCGTTGCTTCCTTCGCCCCCGTTCCATTTAATTGTTGGATTGTCAGCGCTGCACTCCCGCTGACGGCCAGCAGGGGGCAGAGTTCGAGCCTGGAGGGTTTTTTTTTACCCCCTCGGGGCGTCCCCGGGGAGGCGGTCGCAGAGTGGGGGAGGGGAGGGCGGGGCTCGTGGACGCGGTTCCGTCCGCTGCTGCGCTACTTTTGGTCCGGACTCGTCTGGGAGGCCGCGGCTGCCGCATCAGAGCTGACGTGGGGGCGACGTGGGGCCGCGGCCGGCGCCGGCGCCGGGTTGCTGGGCGGCGGCGCCGCTCTTGAGCGGCGGTCGGGCTCGGCGTCTCCACCTCCTCGCGTCCGTAATCAGTGACGAGGTCCGCTACGTAAACCCCATCGCGGCGGGTAAGTGGCGCGCCGGCAGGGCCCGGAGACCAGGAGCCGGCGACGCGGCGCGGGAGGCGGCGCAGGAGCGGGGCGGGGCCGGGCCGGGCGGCGGGACCCCGGCGGCGGGACCCCGTGTCGGCGAGACCCCGTGTAGGTGGCAGCGGCGCGCCCCGCGAAGAGGCCCTCCCGCTTCCCTGTCGGCCTCGACGGCCCCGAGTGCGGGCAGCCCGCCTCCGCACCCTCCCGACTCCTTCCGAGCTTGTTACAAGTTGGAAAAGCCTGACTCGAAAAAAAAAACCAAAAAAACCTTACGCCTCTGAGTACACTTCTGTCTTTGACAGGAAAAAGGAAGCGAGAAGGAAGGACGTTGGTTTTATTTATCACAGCCGACGATTGGTGGCACCTTTGTCCCAGTTGTGTATGCAGTTGAGATATAAATTAACGCGACCTATTTTTTTGAAATGTGGGGTAGGGGGAACTCGCTGTTGAGTCATTTTTGTCCTCCAGACACGTTATAGCTGATGAGATCAAATAAGGGCAGAGACGGAATAAGTGACAGCTGATAACAGGTTCGCGGTGTTATTCCTTTGATTTTTGCCTTTTTAGGGCCATCTAGTTCCCAGAACCTCTGACTGGGTAATAACACATTCTTACATTAGTTTTTACCCTGTTGCCGATTACACGTATACCTAGGTTTGAATTGAAATCACTTGAACGTTTTCTGCTCCTCCGCTCGCTAGAGCAGCTATTGGTGTGTAATCAGATTTTCAAAAAATGTTGTATTACACGACCAGCCTGAAAGTCTGACTAAAACTGAAAGAGCTCCTTTTAACTATGCAGCTTACTTAGGTAACTCATGAMGTTTCTTCCTTTAACTTCGGGAAGGGTAGGAGTGCAAACCATTTTCCATTGAAACAAAAACTTAGATGCATAGTGATAAGTCCAGTGTGAATATTGTATTAGATTACATCTATAATTCATGTTCTCTATTTTTTCCCTTGGGTACCACATTTTTCTTCTAGTCTTGATTCTCTTTTTGGACAACACGCTTGTTTCCCTAAGTTACTGATAGTCTTTAAAAAATCTTTGAAATACTGTTTTCCCCAAAGGATCGAAAATGTCAAAAAATGTTTTGGCAAATAAATGCTGAGTATTGAAACTGATGTTTAAAGGAACTACTTATTGATCCAAGCATTACTTTGGAAAAGGTATACATTATTTTAGTTCTGGATGAGTAAACATAATGCATTGTCATATTAAGTAATGATAATTAAACAATTTTGATGAATTTGTAAATAACCAATGTAACAAATTTTTTCCAGTGACTTGGTGGTTTGCATGAAATTATTTTGGTAGTGTCAAGTTGTAATTACAGTGATGTTTTGTGTACATATTTTTGTAAGAGTATGAATAAATTTTTATTGACTGTATAAACACAGAGGAGCTTTTTAGTCTTTTTGTTTTTGCATTGTCCCAGAAAGTTAATGAAATTTGCCTCTACTGATGAATTTTAACAAACCTCAGACATCGTGTATTCTAGTTTCCTACTGAGGCAAGTCACTGCATGATTAAAATATTAAATTTTGTTTTTCAATAAATCTTTCATGAAAATGTGGGGAGAGTTTTAGATTATTAATGTACATAAGGAATCCTGATTGAATCTTTATCAGTATAAATGTTTCTGATCCTGTTTCCCCCAATTTGATATTCTTTACAAGTATTGGGCCAGGGGTACTGTTGAAGTAGGTAGCCTACTAAAAAGCTTTTAAATATTCTGTTCCCTTTGTAATGACTTCTTAAAATAAACCTGAACAACACAAACACTTAACAGCTTAAAATTCAGACTTTATTTTATTATTTAATTTTTTTTTTTTTTTTTAGTTGTAGATGGACACAGTACCTTTATTTTATTTATTTATTTTTATGTGGTCCTGAGAATGGAACCCAGTGCCTCACACTTACTAGGCAAGTACTGTACCACTGATCCACAACCCTAGCCAGAGACTTTATTTTTTTAGATCAGTTTTAGAACCATTGATTCTCCCCTCTCATCATTGCTCCCCCACACTAAGGATTGAACCCAGGGCCACTCTACCATTGAGCTACATCCCAACCCTTTTTAAGTTTTTTAAATTTTAGACAGGTTCTCACTGAGTTGCCAGGCTGGCCTGGAAGTTGCAATCTTCCTGTACTTCCCCAGTTGCCACTGGACTAGTAGTTTTGTTTCTGCACTTAGAAAGAAACCAGTTTTGTTCCAGATAGGACCAATCTAGGTGAGTTGAAATGCTGAAATTCTTTTCTCTGAACTTTAGTTAATTTAAGTGTCTTATCTACTTTCCTGGATTTACTAATTAATTGTCACTCATTGTGTAGATGAGTGTCTTGAAATGTACTTATCAATGTATCAAGAAGCATGCTATTGAAAAGAAAAACCTTAACAGTGACTTTGGTCAAGTAACTCTCCCTTGGAATTTTAAATTTTGGTTTTCTTTCTTGAATTGGAGGTGGTGGTCTGGGGTACTTGAAGGGTGGAGATGGGGATGGGGAGGCTGAGGATGTAGCTCAGTGGCAAAGCACTTGCCCAGTAGATGTTAGGCTGGGATAAATTCCTAGCACTGTGGGGGAGATTAAGTTGAAGGGTGGAGATGGGCCTTGATTACACTTGAACTTCATTTTTTCATTTCCTGCTCAGTAGCTGATTTTGCTATTCATTAAAATAGCCAAAAGTAGGCAGCATGTGGGTAATGAATTGGAAAAAGGGATGTTTTGGTAATTTTAATGAAAGTTAAGATTTCTCAAAAAAACAGGTATCTCAGCTGGGTGTGTGGCACACGTTTATAACTCCTGATATGTAGGAGTCTGAGGTAGGAGGATTTCAAATTTGAGGTCACCTTGGGCAATTTAACAAGACCCTGTCTTAAAAAATAAGGATGTAGGGGATGTAGGTCAGTGGTAGAGCACTTGCTTTAGTTCAGTCCTCAGTACTGCAAAAACAACAAAACAAAAACACCCCAGGTATCTATCTCAAGCAATTAGACTGGAGTAGTTTTGAGTCTATATTAGAAAGCCTCCTGATTATGCATAATTAATGTTTTAAATATTAAAGATATTATTTACAGATGTTTGGAATTTTATGAGTATTTTTCCTGGCTACTCCTATTTTGACATGTAAGTGTACAGATTATTATTTTAAAGTTACTGTAACTTACTTTCACAAAGAGTACAACACTTTAAAAGTGGCATCATTTTCTGTTAACTCCTGTTTCATTTTTCCTGTATTCATTTCACTTGTCCAAAATTCATGATAACCATAGGTTCCTCCCTGTTAATTTCAGATATATGGCTGTTTATAATATAATTACTGCTCTCTTCAATTTAGTCTCACCTTCCAACTTTTTAATTGGCTTGACAACGTGGGCTTCATGTTCTTCCCTTATCTTTCAATCCTTACTTGCTGTTGCTACTTAAATTATAGTTAACCTGTGCAGATCTACTTGAAGAACTAAAAGCTTACTTTGTCTCAGAACTAAAGAAACAGATTGTGCTTTTCTCTGTTCTCTTTTTCTTCCAACTTCTGTTAAAAGGTGCACTGCCTTTTATTCCACAGTTTCCCTTTTTCTTTTGGCTGTGCTAATTGCATTGTTTTGGATTTTTTTCCATCATTAAAAAAAAATTTTTTTTTTAACTTTCTTGAAAATAACATCTCAGTAATGCTTACTTTGCAGGTCCCATTTTTGGGATTTTTCAAAGTGGAACAAGAATTTAGATTGTTTTTACAAGTGTCTCATAAAGAAGTCTTCATTTTTGTAATACTGTAGTTATTTACAACTGTAATATCCAGTCCAAAAACTGTATTAATTTTTTTTTTTTGCCTTTGATACCATTTGCAAAGCTTTCACAGGAACAGTTCTCTTTTTAAATTGTTCATCTCTTTATTTATTTATTTTTTTTTCAAAGAGAGAGGAGAGAGAGAGAGAGAATTTTAATTTTTAATATTTATTTTTTAGTTTTCGGTGGACACAACATCTTTGTATGTGGTGCTGAGGATCGAACCCGGGCCGCACGCATGCCAGGCGAGCGTGCTACTGCTTGAGCCACATCCCCAGCCCTGTTCATCTCTTTAAACGATTCCAAAATTGCAACAAGTATGGCTAGTATAATCAGGTTTGGTGCTAAACACAACTTGGTAGGAACAGAAGTACTTGGCACACTACAGAAGAACTGCAGTAGGAATTAACAAGACCAAATTTTATAAAAGGAATGGAGGACCATTGRTTATACAGAGAGTTGGATGGTGAGGTGGAAACTGATTATAAGGGTTCATATTATAGTAAGATTGTCCCAGATTTTCTTATGTTTACCTTATTTTTTCAGAAAGTTTCATTATATTAATGCCATAGTACAGTATGTAGTCAAACTCTACTAAGTATAATTTTGATACTACCTTTTCTCTGGCATATTTTAAGTATAATTTGCATAGAAAGCCATATGTTAAAGGTTGATGGTTAACAATAAAATGAAACTGTTATGCCAGAAGGTGAAAAAAATCAATATCCTGGGGAAAAGTAAGGTGAATGCCAAATGTTATTTTTTGTAATCAAACCTAATACAGGTAGGAAGTTTTTATCAGTATGATAGTTGTCTTCCACCAAATGCAGCTCAAAAATCCATACCCAGACAAAATAATTTCAACTCATTTTTCTCACCTAATATATATATATATATTATTTGTCTGTAATAAGCTATCTGTCTGCTCTAAAAGATAAAGCTCAAAAGTCCTTGGTAGGTAGGATTTTTGATATATTTGTGWAGAAAATTGGTAGAGGAGCTAGGGATGTAGTTTTGTGGGAGAGCTCTTGCCTAGTATGTGTGAGACCCTTGGTTCAATCCCTAGTCCCTCCAAAAAAAAAAAAAAAAAAAAGAGGGCAAGGCAGGGAGAGAAAAAGAAAATTGGTATTAATAAAGGATAGTACATCAGAATGTAAACATATCTGCTTAAAAAGTAAAACTTCAGTGGCTCAGGAAGCAGGAGTTCAAAGCCACCTCAACATTTAAGTGAGGCCCTAAGCAATTTAGCCCTCCCCAGCACCTCCCAAATTAAAACCTCAGATTGGGGATTGTGGTGTGTGCCTCAGCTAATTGGAGGCTGAGGAAAGAGAATCACTAGTTGGAGCCAGCCTGGGCAATTTAGGCAACATTAAGTGGGGATCCTGTGTCAAAAAAATAATCAGACTATCCTGAAGCTGAAGCATGTTAATAAATTCAAAGGGCGTGTTTTAAGCTAACTAGAATATTTTTATATTGTATAAATCCATCATGAGAACATATTAGGATATTTTAGCTCTTAACCAGTTGTAGGGTTGGGGCATAGGATKCTGGATTCAATTCTGTCTATCCAATAAAAATGTGTTCTAATATATTAAAACCAGATTTGAAATGAGATCACTAGTATAAGAAGTAGTTTAGTTTTTCAGTGTATGCTTTTATTATAATCAAATAAACTGGGACCCCTGCTTTACAAATCCATACAAAGTGATTTTGAACTTGGGAAATAGGTGATACAAAGCAACAAGGTGCCTTAAAATCTGAATGTTTTTACAACAAACTGTATTATATAAAGTCTCTACCCAAGTGTCTCAGATGAGAATATTAAGAACTTTTTGGATATTTATTCTTAAAGGGAACTGTTGGAGAATTTTAAGTGACGAAATAACGTGTTTGGGTTTGCGTTTCAAATGGAGTATTGTGGTCAAGTGGAGTGGATTACAAGAGCTTGAGAGGAGGTTTTGAGTGAGGTGAAGTAATTGTAGGGAGAGACTGTATATATTTATATGGGAGGCTGTTATTACTTTAATCATCAAAAAMATCAAGAAATCGGTCAAAACTAAAGCAGTGGCAGTGAGACTGGAGAGGATAGAGAAGAATCAAAAGATATTTAAGAGGTAGAGTTATTAGGGCTGAGTAAACGTGTTCTAAGCCTGTATTCCCACAACTAGACATTTTACATTCATTATTGTGCTTCCTCGTCACAACATAATCTGACAGGAAGGAATGCAGAAATGTTAAATAATTGTCCAAAGTTACATATCTAGTAAATGATAGAACTCAAGTTCACACCGAGACCAACCTCTTAATGCCAGTGCTCTACTACTATACTGTTACCATTAGACCACATTTCCACCCCAGGAATTGGGCACAAGGGAAATGGGTCATGAATGGAGGTTAGGACTCAGAGAGGGGGGCTGGCTAATGGTGGTGTCTGTCACTGAGATAAGAATACTGTAAGAGGACAGTTCAGGAAGAGGGAGGCTTAGTTTAGTTTTGAACATTTTGGTTTTGAAGATGTATGAGCAGACCTTTAAGAGACATCTGATAGGCAGATTCTTGTGGGGTTAGAGCTTAGGAGAAATGTAGAAGCTTGAGGTGAAATTTGAGTTACTTAAAAGAAGATAAAGTGTTCCAGGGAGAGTGCCTGGAGGAGATTTTTGTGCCTGGAAGCCTGGGGAATACCAACCTGTATTGAAAGAGTGGGCCAAAGAAGACAGAATGAAGGGTTAAGTAATTTGGAAGAAAAAATGAAAATGATGTCATAAAAAATTAGAGGAAAACTGGACATGGTAGCACACGCTTGTAATCCCAGGTGTGTTGGAAGCTGAGCCAGGAGAATGCAATCAAGTTCAAGGTCAGCCTGGGCAATTTAGAGAGACCCTATCTCAAAAAAAAAAAAAAATGACTGGGGACCTAACTAAGAATCTCAGAATGCTTTCCTAGTAGGAATAAGGCCCTGATTTAATCCTCAGAACTAAAAATGTAACAAATAAAAATAAGAAAAAAATTCAGGGATGAGGAAATGCTGTAGAGTTGTTAAAGGAAGATGGGGATTAGAAAGCATCCTTTTAGATTTGACCAGTAAGTAGTCAACCTTTAATGACTTCTTAGTAGTTAAAATGAAATATTTCTCTGGCAATCCATAGTCAGAGTCAATTTTATCTCATCGTTATTCTAATATGAGGCCAATTATTTTCCTCTTGACACTCTGTGGCTGGGGTTGCAGGAAGATGGTGCTTTCTTCAATGCTTGTTGCCTCTGGGAAGAGAAAGTGGGTAGCTGTTTCTGGGCTTCACTGAGTACCTTTCTCTGTGTTCTAAATTTTTGAACTAAAATAATGTATTTTGTATAAAACTAAAAATAATGTCAAGAGAAATGCAGAGATTAGTAGTTATTTCTCTGTTACATGGTGCTGTGATCATTATTGCTCAGGTGATATTATCTTTGTTTACAAGTCTGTTTCCCTTTTTAGATTGCAGCGTCTTGAGCAATATGTCCCACTGTTTCCCAGTGCTTAACATAAGAGCCTGGTATATAATGGATACTGGTCACTGTTTAATAAATAAATGATCCTTGCCCTCTTGGTCATACAACTTTTAAGATGTTTCCATGTAAAATGTTAGCGTAATATAATAGAGAATAAGGTTTAATAAGGTATGGCACCATCCTTGCTTTTTATTTATTGTGTTGTGGATAGCTTGGTTAAAATGCTCTTTCATCTTTTGTTGTCACTTTGCTAGGGTGGAAGGGGTGGCAACAGTAACCACTGCTTTAGTATCTTCAGTGTGGCAAACCATTGCCTGCAGTTTCAAAATTGGAAGGGTATGACACCGTTTTAGAGAGAACCACTTAGGAGCAAAGTCTGAAAGCTGCATGTGCATTGCTGAGCACTGTCGTTGCTGGCATAGGCATCTTCAAAGTACTGAGGGATGGTCATAACTGTTCTTTGCAGCTCTGAAAAAAAGCAAAGGCTCCCAGATATTCTTTTGTCTTTGGCAATCTTACTTCATTCTGCAGGTCAGATGTGTTTTGGGGCTGAGGATATACAGTTCAGTGGTAGAGTGTTTGCCTAGCACTGGGTTCAGTCCCCAGCCCAAATAAATACTTATATAAATRAATGTGTGGGGCTGGGGATGTGGCTCAAGTGGTAGCATGCTCGCCTGGCATGCGTGTGGCCCGGGTTCGATCCTCAGCACCACATACAAATAAAGATGTGTGCCGAAAACTAAAAAATAAATATTAAAAAAAATTCTCTCTCTCTCTAAATAAATAAATAAATAAATAAATAAGTGTGTGTGTATTTCAGAAGTATTAAGTTTTAAGAAGTATTAAGAAGTATTAAGCTTAAAAAAATGAGTGTCTCAGATAGCTTTTTAAAATAGAGTGAAGGCTATTAGAAGATTTTGAATGAACTGTTGATATTTTGTTTAGAGTTAAAAATCTTTGAGAAAACCGAAGCTTGAATTAATGAAAACATGGTTGGAAAATTTGTTGCAATTGAGTGATCATTACCTTTTAAAACAGCTTATCACCAGCACTGCAAAACAAAAACAAACAGTAAATGGAGCTGATTCTGAGCTTAATACACTTAATGTATAATAGATCTGTAGATTGCATGGCTTTCTTTTCTGAGAGGGCTAGGGCTGTGGCTCAGTGATGGAGTGCTTGCCTAGCATGCGTGAGGCCCAGGGTTCGATCCCCAGCACCACATAAAAATGAATAAAATAAAGGCATTGTGTCCAACTACAACTGAAAAATAAAAAATATTTAAAAAAAAGAAAGAAAATAATCTGAGAAATAGCACATCATTTAAATTTTGTGGACCCTACCACCAAAGAWAAGAAAAATAAATAATAGAATTGAAAAAAAAATCTAAAGCTGTTTCCAGTTATTTATGCTTTTTCAGTTTTATAGAAATTTTTGAATATTACTAGCCTAGTTTTAAGAGATTTAATTTTTTGAAAATAAATGTTATAATCTCCCAATTCAACATTATAATTTTGCTGCAGGATAAATAAAGAAGAAAACGGAGAAGGAGCAAAGCATTGATTGCAAATGTCTTAATAATGAGCAAATGTGGCAGGAAAAAATATWTTAAGACAAATGTAAGGTATGTGTTTTTCTTTTTTTTTTTTTGAGGGTTCTACTACTTAGCTATAGTTAAAATGATGAATTAATGGTAAATATGTACATACATGTATGTGTGCTTATGGTGTATATATATATATATTGTACATACATAGTGATTATAAATATATACATACAATATTCAGTATTCACATTTGGCTTTTTCTGAGTTATAGGATCCTTTTCAGTTAGAAAATAGACCATTGATAAAGATATAGATAGTTCAGTGGAACTATAGAATTAGAGGAATCTCAAGAGTTTTAGTCCTCTGTCTTACTCTTAGACTACATGTTGCTAACTGTGTAAAACAGAAGAAAATCTCCACTGAAGTTTTAAACAGTATTTTCCTTTTTTTTTTCTGGTACTAGGAATTGAATCTGGGGGTGCTTAACCACTGAGCTACATTCCTGGCCCTTTTTTATTATTTTATTTTGACACAGGGTCTTACTAAGTTGCATAGGGCCTCACTAAATTGCTGAGTCTGGCTTTGAATTGGGATCCTCCTGCCTCAGCCTCCTGAGTTTCTGGGATTATAGACAAGCACCACTGTGCCTGGCTCTAACAATTTTTATAGCAATCTAATCAGAATTTTTCAAGTTTCTTTTGGTACTTTCTCTCTCTCTCTCTCTCTCTCTCTCTATATATATATATATATATAAAATATAGCCAAAGGCCGGCCATCTTTTGGAACTTTCAAAACGTTCTGTTTCATCAGTTGTGTTTAGCTCTAAAGAGAAAATAAATTTTCTATGAGATTTTTGTAAAGCTATTTAAAAATAGAGAATAGAAACAGCTTTAGTAAATTTTTCCTTTACCAATTGGACTCTATTTTTAGAAGTGGAAAAGTTTTTGCAAAGGTAATATAATTGCAGTGCCATGTAATTTGTTTTTACAAATTGGAAACAACTGAGATTTTAGAATTTTATTAGTTTATTGAACACATAAATTATAATTAAGACACTGTCTTTGCCCTATTTTTCACTTAGATATTTTTGGCCTGTCTTTTCCTTTCCCTTCTTTGCTTCTAACTTCTTTTTAAACACTTTCCTGGAGGCCAGCCTCAGCAACTTAGCATGGCCTTAATCAACTTGGTGAGACCCCGTCTCAAAATTTAAAATTAAATACAGGTTGAAGATGTACCTCAGTGGTAAAGTTCTGCTGGGTTTAGTCCCCAGTATAAAGAAACACACACATTCTCAGGTACTGATAGCATTCCTTAAAATGTTTTTCCTTTTTCCTTCTTGTTTTTCCTCCTGCTTACATATTTCTTATGCACATATAGACATGCCTAAGTAGCTTTTCATGATTAATTGCTTTGGTTTCTATAATTATAAATATTTGTATGAGTGCATTCGATTCTTAAGTATGTTATATATAGGTTGTCTACCTATTTTGTATTATATTGTACAAATAGAACTTTATTGTTGTGCCTTAGTATTTGGGGAGTTATTACAGTATTATGTCGATGTTCTTTTTTTTTTTTTTAAAGAGAGAGTGAGGAGAGAGAGAGAGAGAGAGAATTTTTAATATTTATTTTTTAGTTCTCAGCAGATACAACATCTTTGTTGGTATGTGGTGCTGAGGATCGAACCTGGGCCGCATGCATGCCAGGCGAGCGCGCTACCGCTGAGCCACATCTCCAGCCCATGTAGATGTTCTTTTACAGTCCTCAAAAAATAACAGAATAAGAAGTCATAGAAGATAACAGGATAACAAATACAATTCTACATGTATTTGTTATAGAAAGTAGTTCACCATGGAAATCTTTTAAACTAGTTACAATGGAGAATCCTGTTATTTTTATTAGTTATTTTAACCTTTTATTAAATTGGATCTCAGTATATTCATAACAGGTTGAGATATTTGCTTTTCCATCAAAAGAGAAAAAGGAAATAAATATCAGAAGAAATATTTTAACTCATAAGAAAAGAATATTATTGAGGTGGGAAGATTGCAAATTCAAGTTTAAATATGCCAATTTTAGCAAATTCTTACCTATTTTTAAGAACTATGAAACCAAATATTTAGTTTTCTATTTGGTTTCTAAAGTATTCTAGTTGACGTTAGTTATAATACTTAATGTACTTTTGTGTCTTTTATAGTTACTTCTTATTTTATTTTTAAGTATTCTGTAATATATAATTGCTAATTGTTTTTTTCCCTCTCTGATAAAGATTGTTGTTTAAGATTAAAAAAAAACTGTATAATTTATTAATTTAAAGATTACTCTGCTGTTATAGAAAGTGAGATTTTGGCCTGTATATTCTGTGATGCATCTCTTCAATTTTAGTACATTTAGCTATAAAGTATACAATGAAAAATTTAAATAGATCTTTCTCTTAACTCTGAAAATAAATTCTGTATGGAACAGTTAAGGCTGATTTACAAATGTTAATGTTTTATGTTCATCTTGTATAGCTGAGTTCTGGGTCTTATATTGCCTCCTGAGATAGTGCTTAAAAATGCCTGAAAAAGCCAGGCATGGTGACATGAACCTACAATTCCAGCTACTAGGGTGGCTGAGGTGGGAGGATTGGACAATTTAGCAAGACCCCTGTCTCAAAAAGAAAAGAAAGAAAATAAAATGTTTAGTTCGATGCTTAACCCATGTTAAGCATTTAAGAAAAAAGATTTTTGAACTAGAAATTGAACCCAGGCGTGCTGTACCACTGATCTAGAACTATATCCAAGGTTCCTTTTTTATTTTTTATTTTGAGGCGGCCTTACTAAGTTATCCAGGCTGGATTTGAACTTGCAGTCCTCCTGCCTCAACCTTTGGAGTTGCTGGGATTTCAGGGGTGCACCACTATGCCCAGTGAGCACTTATATATTGTTTAATCTTGGGCCCTGAGCCTTGCCTTGGGCTTGATTTTCAGTGGGTTTAGGAGGTTGTTCTGGAGAACAGTTGGATATATATTAGCACAATAAACTTGCTTGAAAATGATAGGATATATATTTTAAATGATAGGATGTGTATTTAATTAGAGTTGAACTTACCTTCAAATAAACTGATTTTAGCATCAAATTTTTACTGAATGACATAGACTGAGCACCATACTAACTGTTCTAAAATAATACAAATGGATTGWAATTGGAGCCCAGTGTGAACAACAAAGCATATCTGAATGAAGATTATGATAACAGTTGCAGTTGTATTAGACACTGGGCATACATGGAAATCTCAGATGTGATATTCATCCCTAAATTAACATACAGGTGTTAGTACTGTGCTAACAAAAGTGTATGCTAGGCAAGTGCTGTAATGGAGGTATTGCACAAAACGTATTGGGAACTCGGAAGAGTAACTGATTCTGCTCAGGGGTATTGGAATAGGCTTTTGAAAGATAGTGTCTTGAACTAGGGCACAAGAAACTGGAAGGAATTTGCCTGTAAGACAAAGAAGGGTTGAAGGCCGTACCGGGAAGAAAGCAGAAACATGTCAATGATTAGAACTGGGGGAATAAGATGTATATTTGAAAAAAATGGCTTATTAGGAGAATAGAATGCAGAGTGTAGGAAAGAATGGAATAACTGGAGATGAACCTGTAAAAGTAAAGTGGAATCACATGTGAAAGGAGTTAAATGACAATTTGGTCTGGTAATTGAGAATATGGATTTTGGAGAAAGACTTGGGTTCAAAACCTGGCTATGCCAGTTTTTGTCCCTGTTGTGAGATCAGATTCTTAACCTCCTTAGGTCTCCTTTTCCTTATCTCTAAAAGAAGAACTAATTATATGATTTAATAGAGTGGTTGAGGACCAAAACTACATTTACCACATGGCAAATACTAAATAAATGGTAGTTATGATTAAAAGAAGTGGCAAGTGGATTTTATCTCATAGTCATTATAGGGCTTCTGAAGAGTTTAAGCAGAGAAGTGTTTTAATCAGAAATGTATGTTTTAGAAAGATAATTACTGACATGGATCRAAATCAGGAGATAGAATAGTGGCAGTGAGAAGGTACTGAAGGAGACTTAATTGTACTTTAGAGAGTAAAATCGTCATATCTGATGATAAAACTGTGGGGAAAAAAAGGAATAAAAGGAAGTTTTCTGGATGGTGGGGTCCCATTTCCTGAGAGAGGAATATCAGGAGATAGAACATGTGTGTTTAGGATTTTGAGGTACCTACAAAACATCTGTGTGTGTAAATGTTAAATAGGCTTTTGAATTTTGGAATTCAGGAAAGACTATTGGGCTAGAGATGTAGATTTAAGAGTTACAGGTTTAAAACTTGTATTAAATCCAATGAAATGAATAACATTAAGCAGGGAGAGATTTGAAAGTGAGCCAAGAAAGCTAGACAGAACCCTGAAGATTGAAGGATTAACATCAAGTAAGGGAAGGAATTGGCAAAGCAGCTTGTGGAGGAATCATCAGAGATTTGGTCAGAACAGGAAAATGCATTCTAGGGACATCAAAATAGAGTTCAGGAAGGAATATGTCTACAACTTAATGCTGCTGAGGGGTCAAACAACATAGAATTTAAGTGTGTTGGATTTAGTGACAAATGAGTTATGTTTTTTAGAGCGTTTTTAAAGAGGCTGAGGCAAGTTTGAGGTTGTCTAGTAGAAGGTGGGAGGTGAAGAAATGGAGATAGCATTGGCAGTTCTTTCAAGTAGGTCATCAGGGAGAGTTAGAAGACAGTGAATTTTTGAATGTGGGTGATGTGTGTGTGCGCACATGCCCGTGTATCTAAGGTGGGGAGAGACTTGGAGGTATTTAAGTCTTACAGGAGGAAACCACTAGTGAGGTGAAAGTATAATTTATTGTATAATTCACCTGAAAAGAGCAAAAAAGGGCATGTGATCTAAAGAACCGGTACAGAGTGTGAAAGAAGCAGGAGCCAAGGAAAAATGAAGGATGTAGATGTAACTGTTGATTTGGAGGTAGGGAAGTTGAGGGATTTCTGATTAAAATCAGGAGGCAAAATCTTAGTTTAAAGTATATTAGGTAAATTCAGGGATTTGAGAAGAGGGAGAA